CATCGATCAGCACAAGGTGGCGGTTCTGAGAGGCTGCAAGCTCAGAGCGACCTCCAAGTTTGTCTGAAACAATACAAATGGCCTTGCATGTGTGGCCAATGTGTTCGACATCCTCAATGGCAGGGTTAGACTGGAAAATGACAGAACGACTGACTTCACAGCCTAGCTGTGCGGCAGCAAGGGCATGAAGGGAATCAAGTGATGCCTGTAGCGATGGTTGGAATGAGACAAGGCTGAGGCCGGCATCAGTGCACAAAAGAACTGCGTCCGGTATCGGGCCGGGATACATTGGACAAGGTTGCGCCCAGTTCCGGTCTGTTGCGATGAGATCGGCGAAGGCAAAAAGAGGTCCAAGCCTCCGGTCCTGTGGGACAACAGTGATTAGGCCACCATTCTCGGGTGAAATGTCCTGGCCAGGCGGGACAAGTCGCTCAGCATTGTAGACACGCAAGTTCGGAAGGGCAGGGACAGCGATTTGCGCAAGAAACTCATCATAGGTAAGCTGCTCTGGGACTATGATGCTGAAGAGACGCCCGTCAACAAGGCGAAGATCAATCAGCACATGAAGTCGGTCAGCAGCCCACTCTGGCAATGACAAAATGCACGCAAATCTGTTGTCCGGCTGCGGCTCAACAGGGAGGAGCGTATCAAAGTAGAGAGATTGGTCCTCATTTCTGGCCTCTTGGACTTCATTAAGGGCATCGTCCGGATCACAGGGGACACGCATGACAAGAGGAAGTACCTCGGCCCTGTATCTGGGCGCAAAGACAAGGAAGTGGCCATGCAAGAACATAGGCGGCGGCGCGCCTTGGGGACGCTCCCTTTCATATTCTGGCAACGGAGGTACCTGTGCCTCATCATCGTATCTGGCAGGAGGGTGTACAGGCCTACGAGTATCAGCAGCTCGCTGCCATGGAACTCCTTGACAGCCGCCTGGTGCTTGATACGGGTTGCGCATGGAGACAGCATCCTCTGTGCCAATAGGCCCTGCATCGTAGCCTATTGCAGTGGGAGTGCCAGTCGGCTCAAACTCGACTGTGAGAACACCGCCGTTGTGGGCGACAAAAGCGGACCCAACCCGTTCGAGTCCGCGGAAGGCAAACTGGTAGCCCAGCGGAGGCCGAAACTCAAGATATTGGATCAGGGACTCTGCTTCGATCAATGGCTCACCGGTGTAGTAGGAGGTGACCTTGGCTCCAATCGGCCGACAATCGAGGATGATAAAAGACCCGGCAGCATCATTGCAATCGTCGCCCTGCGGACACTGACGGACAGCGACGACCCCAGCAAGCAAGGATCCCTGATAGACGAAGGGGTGAAAGTCATCCTTATCAGGGGCACACAGCAGAATCTGCTCGCTGTGACAGTGCAGGGCGCTTGCAGCATGCAGTTTGAAGGAATCATCAAGCTGCCCTTGGTGGAGGATGTCACGACTAATGTGTGGAGCAAGTATGAGCCAGAGGTCGGAGATTTCTTCGCTGATTATCTGTCTGACTTCAGCAGAAATGAAGTCAGCATCCTTCAAGCAATCAGCTGAACTCGGGAACCAATGAGGTCTGTCAAAAACTGCTACAAACTTGATAGTATCTCCTGTGATGACCTTGATTCTTTGGTCCGACCTGAGAGGGTCTGGTCGCCCGGTCTGAAAGGCATCCCAGGGGGAAATGGTATGCTTGCTAGCATGCTCAAGAACAGTAGCATGGCGTAGGTGCCTATCAACGATAGTCGCATACACCGGCCCGCCAACAGCTGAAAAGTCGAAGACTATCGCTGCCCTGTCAGAGTTCACAAGCCATTGCGGGGCAAGAAGGAGCGACATGTAGCCTTCTTCAGGCTGTGGCTCAATGAACACAAGGTCAGACGCAAAATAAGCCCGTCGTGGATCAAAAGCCTCAGCAACTGTCTGAAGAAAGTTGTCAGAGGTCGCCGGGACGTCGACAGGAACTTGCACAGCTTGGGTCGGATACTCAGGCGAAAAGAGAATGCATTGAACCCGCAGGTCACCCTTTGCAGCAGTTGGGTCCTGTGGTGACGGACCTACATCACATGAGCCACTTCTGCTGGCAGAAACCTGTCGCCTTTCGGGAAGAGGATCTGGGTAACCTTCGATCAGCAATCCTTGGTCAGCCCTCTGGAAATTGCGGAGACCTGGTTCGACTGCGTGTTGCAAGGGAATCCGTACAGGGGCAGACCAAATGCACTCCGGGCAGTTGAGCAAAATTAGGCACCAAAGCACAAACTTGTGCCCAAACATTGGGAGACTCGATTTCTGTCCAGGTGACCGTCTCCTTTGCCCAAATTGCTCTGCTTTGGTACATGAGATGTGAGCGGAGTGTCGTGGGGAAAACTCCTTTAAGCAGGCAAGGGGGCGCAGATGGACACCTTTGCACGGTAAGCCAAGGAGGCGACCAAGTGGCTCGTGACGATCTGGTATTTGCTTCCACAAGCACTGGTACAAAATGAGCGCCAAAATGGAAAACAATGCTCTGCATAGTGGAAGCAACACGGAGCCAATGGCAGACAAAAGGCCGAGCAGTGCTTCATTGAACCTATGGGTCTGGCAAAACTGTCGATCATGGCTGGTGCTATGGGAACATGCACCTCCAGAACGCTGCGCGATGGCAGGGACAAATGACCTCGGGCTCGAGATCTGCAAGAGAGACAAGGTCGTAGTCCGCACCCCAGAGCCACCGATGTGCGTGTTTGGCACTACAACAACCTGTCCTCTGACACAAGGGCTTGCAAAGACTAGCCCGAAAAGGGTATTGAGGCCTAAACCAAAGGGCCTAAGGGCAGGGGTTCCATGCTGTGTGCATTGGAGGAAAGACCTTGAGAGGCCGGTAAGAGGAAGGAATCCCGATGCAAACACACAAACCCAGTGTGTTGCGACGGTCTTCCGATGCCCCGTCAAATGCTTCAGATGCCCACAACCTTCAAGGAGATGGGCTATCCTCTGCTTGGCATCAAAGACAAGCATTGATATGGAGGGTCCCAAAGGCAAAAGTCCATGGAGGCGGCCCTTCTCAGAAAGGAAAAAACCTACTTCAAATCTTCCTTCTGTACATGCCCTGTGAGACCGGATGTATCGACAGCAATCAATGTCGAGGAGACTACGGGGAGCGCCTTGCCCACAGGAAGCTCGCACAGCTGATGTCCATCCCAAAGACATCAGGTGGCTTCGTCCCTCTAGGCGGCAGAGTCCCGTGTGTCCACGACACGATTCGCCCGACACATCCCTACTGGCGGAGTTCTCAGCATGTGCATCAGATGTCACACCACATTCTGACCTGCAGCACGAGCCTGAAGTCTGGCAAGCTCCTCCGCGGAGAGGTGTTGTGCAGGATCGTCGTCTTCTCCCAAGTCGTCGTCCACAAAAGGAGCAGGAACAGGTCGTTCGTTGGCGCGGGCCGCATCTGGGGCACCCGCAGGTATGCCAAAGGGATTGAGGGCTCTCCTTTGCTGCACCTGCGCTGAAAGACCAGCCTGAGAGGGGGTCGATGTGGTACCCGACAAAGTAGGCTCGTTTAAACCGGTCCCCCCATCTTTCCGCATTCGTTGGTCGCCAGGGCCGGGCGGGTAAGGTGATGACCTTTCGAGTCCAGGAGGTGCAGGTGCTGCTCCATATACAGCCGGCAAACCGGTCGGCGCCGGAGACGTCGTCGAATAAGGATCCCGTACAGACGTCGGTGGTGGAACCACATATGGATGGGGAACTGCACCACCTGCTGTCGGAGTCATCGGCTCCGCCTGTGTTGACCTCGTCGGAGTAAAAGCCGGTAGGGGTCCAGTTCCCAGGGCTCGAGAGAGGAGCTCCTGGTAATTCTGGCCAGGAGGTTTCTCCTCCATCCAGCGATCGAACATGGCATCGATCTCTGAATCGCCTGTTTCCATATGTACTTCCGGCGGCGCCTCCGCGGTCTGGCCCGTGTAGAAGTTCCTGACACACTCTCTGGCAGTTTCCCTGTGGAGCTCCGCCTCCTGTTGCTCCCGAGTGAGCTTCTTCATGCGGGCCTGGTATCTGCCTTTCTCGCGGACCAATGCCTCCTTCATTCGCTTCTGGTACTCGTCCCAGAGCTTTGTGGTACTCTCTTGGGTCTTGCGGCATCGGTCCACTCTTCCCTCTGCCTTGCTGAAAGCTGTCAAAGCATCTTGCAGGCCTTGGAAAACACCCTGGCCACGGGCTGTAGCATCGCTGCCCTCCTTCTTGGGACCTTTGGGTCCCTGATCCGCCGGTAGGGCATCGAAAGCAGGAAAGGTCGGAGCCGTTGGCGCTCGCCGATCGCTCCAGTCGTTCCAGTCTGGCTGTCCCCGCCAGTGGGGTTGTGCACGGTTTTTCGGCGAGACTTGCGATGAGCCACGCCAAAGTGAGTAGCCATGCTTGTCGTCCCATGACTTGGATCCTTTGCCCATGCGATCCAAAGACCTTAGCAGAGCAGGAGAGGTGGCGTGGTGCCACCGCAACAGATCCAGTTGAAGGTCCGTCGGTGGACGTCCCTTGTGGATGGCCCGTCTGGCCGCTGCACGCCTCCTTCGGCGAGCCCTGTGCCAGGTGGGAGAGCGAGGGTGCTTGCCTATGGCGAAGGCAAAAGGGCGCACTTGTGTGCTGGGGGCAAACGACCAGCTCCGCTTGTGGAGCGCTTCGAGCCCCTATATATATATATATATATATATATATATATATATATATTAGCTCAGGGTCAGCTTCGGTGGGCTTACTGCGGCTTCGGAATCAGGGATTTAGAGCAAAACCCTATTATGAAACCCCAAAGCTGCAAGAACCCGAAGTCCCAGATCCTACATTTAAGCCCCATAGTGAACCTCAGAATATTGGAACATGGATGTAGGATGATTAGTGCTGCGGTTCCCTGTGACGTATCTTAAGTGTATGAGGATAACCATGTGTCAACCTTCTAGCCTCGACAATAAAAAACCAGAAAATCCTATATAAACCAAAACCACATAGAAATCGCAACCCAGTTCTGAGGTTTGCATCAAGCGGCTTGTCCAGGACTGAAAAAGTTGCCCGTGTCCAGGAGGCACCACGGGGACCTGATTTGTGTGTGCGTGTTCTTGTTTCGAAGGATTCGTCGTTTGGGCTCTCTGAGGTTCATATAGACCAGTACTTTGCGTGTGAGGGTTCGTAGATGGGGTGTAGAATTGAGAGCTTTGTGTGGGTGTGGGTGTTTTTAAGTCGCTTCAGGGGGATTGAGTTTCTTTGGAGGGTTTGCGGGGGATTCGAAATTGTTTTTCCTGGTGCAAGGATTCAGCAACAAGCAGCGCTGAAGGCTTAGGACTTTGGCTGCGGCTTCTTACGTTACGTTGCTTTCCGAGTTCTTTTGCTTCAGTCATGTTGAAAACGACCATCATCACCGAGAAGCACAAGCTATTCTGAAAGCGTGACTCACACCATTTAAGTCGCAAGCCTTTACCTGTAGACTGTAGACTCCTCAACTGCGCTCTATAACACCCTATATACCCAAGGGCTCTATTCAGGATACATTGTGGAGGGGGGTCTGGTGGGCTTGGAATCAGAAGAACGGCTCCTTCTGTTGCTAAGCCTGCGGCGTTCCGGCAGAATCTTCCTGTGCGGCTGGACGCTTCACGTGAGGAACTGTGTCCCAGGACCCTGTGAGGTTTGGAGGTTGTGGACTCCAAGACGTCTGGGTTTCTTGCACTACATGTTCCGGCTATGTTGGATCTGTGAGAACCCAAAGGGTCCAAAGTACCCATACGGTAGAAGGTAGGGTTTCTAATATTAAGAATTACTATTATGATTTGGGGAAACCCTAAACCCTAAACCGTGGGAAGTATCCCCCATAACAGTACCTAGGGACCCCTTGGGGAATGCAAGGCTGCATCTTGCGGTGCGCTTCGGGCTCCGCGGAGCTCGAGGCTGGTCCTGGCTTTCCCTAAATGCCAGACTATGTAAGAGGGGGCCTAAATAATTACCAATACTATTTTGGGGGTTCCTCATTAGAATTATAGTATAAAGGAGCCCGGGCCCAAACCCTATTCTAATTATTACGGCCCCTATATTATGAACACTGAATGACTTAACCCGAAACCCAAACGGTCAAGCCCAAAACCATTATCAAGTCCTAACCTTGAGTGTTGACCTCAAACCCTCAACCCTTACAGAACCCTACGGAAAAGAACCATTAAAGGATGCTTGTTTAACCCTTTGAAAGAAACCCTTAAAGGAGCCCTTGTCGGAACTCGAACCCAGCTTATAGTAACCCTTGAAAGAACCAGTTATCGAACCTTTAAAGGAAGCCTTATGTAATCTTAAGTACCCTTAAAACTAATCCGTAAAGGAACACTTACAGAACCTTTAGGGGAACACCCCGGCATTGAAACCCTGGGGCTTCGAGCCTGTATGGCGAATCCTTCTGGAAGCTGCACCACCTCAGGGAGGGTTTAGGGCTGCAAGGGAGTTTAGGGGTTCAGAATTGGGGATAGGGTGTGGTGTATAGGGTTCTTGTTAAGTTCTGGCGAAATCAAGACAAACTGCTTACCAAGAACCCACCTCAGGTAGGCCAAAAGAAACGTTTAGGGGCTAAGGGACTACGTTTCAGGGGTTTAGGGTTTCGGAGTCATACGCAGTTCGGATCCGGCGAGCCTCAGCCAGGGTATAAGGATTGGTGCAGCAAACACTCGCTGCTCCTCGGCCCAGCACCTTCACCTACCACGAGCCTTGAGGGCGCAGCCCCCGAACCTTCACCGGAACGCCACGCAACTGGGTCCATGCGGCAAAGTTTTGGACAGGTTTTGCCACTGACAGCTCAATTGAGGCCAAGAAACCTGACACCTGTGCCACGTCAAGAGCAGCCGTTGCTGCGCGGTCGAGTGGAAGGGCCGCCGTCATGGTCACATCAGCACATCTTCACAGGTGCGCCGAGAGGTCGGTTGAGAGCGCCATCAAATGCGCCAACTGAGTTCAATGGGCCGTATAACCCAACTCGGGGTTTGGCGGTTTGGGGCTTCGGGGTTCAGGGACTGGGAGACCGACTTGACAGGAGTTTAGTGCCCTGGGTGATGGGGCTTAGGGAGTTCTTAAAACGGCAAGATATTTGGGGACAAGAAGAAAAGGTCTGGGGTACGTGAGGTTCGAGGCATTGGGGCCTTTTGGCACGTGGGGTCTCGGGCTTTGTTGGGGTCAAAATGCCGAGTTCAGAGTTCAGAGTTACTTATATATCAGAGTAAGCCCATGCGCTTTCAAGTACCAAGAACCATACACTTTCACGGGAACACCCCGAAGGTGCCTGGGCTGAGTCGGGTTTACAAAGTAAGTGGAAGGTTTACCCGAAACCCTAAAATTCCCGAAATCCTACACATAGAAGTTAAAGCTTAGGGCGTTTATGTCAGGTGTCGGATCTGCAGCAGCAAGATCCGCTTTCCAGAGACCTGGAGCACCTCCACCCTTACTTGGTTGACTTCTGAACCCCTCCTAAAAGTTAAACTTTTAGCCTCCTTACTATAGTTCATACAGAAACTCAAAACTTAAAGTCTACAGAGCCAACCAGAAGAACGCCAAGCTTATACTAAAACCCCCTAAACCCTAATCCTTGAACCTAAAAGCCGAAACCCCAGACCCTAACCCTAAATTGCCCTACAAGTAACCTCAAAGGATTTCCCTTTCAACGAGGATGGAAAGCTGATTGTTCCTTCCATGGTTCCTGAATGTAGCTAATAAGGTAGACTCTAACAGACTACACCACGAAAGACTAGTTTAACTACTAACTAAAGCCCCTTGTATAGCATAAACCCCTCATCGGAACCCGAATAGTCTGGAACCCCTAATTAAGGGAAACATTTAATGATGGACCCCCCATCTGGCTAAACCCTATATAGACCCTAAAACCCTAAAAATACCGAGGCTGCCACCAAAGACCCGGTGTTGGCTGAGAGCTGCGTGCTTCCCAGGACGAACTGGGCCGCAGGTGCGGGCTTGGCAATTCATAACTGATGTGCGCGCCGCTGGCATCTACACAAGGCTCAGGGTTTAGGGTTTAAAGCTCGGGGTTTAGGGGTTGGGTTACGTAGGGGTTTAGGGGTTTGGGGGGGTTGGGGATTTTGGGTCTAGGGTTTGCGACTCAATTGAGGATTCGGCTTACATTTAATGTTCAGGGATTTGAAGGCCAAGGAAGGAAGGCTTGTTAAGGGATAACTGAACCTCCTTCCCTAGAAACTCTGATAGCCTGGCGGTAAGGGCTTATTGATCCGGGGTCTACAATAAGGCCTTTGCAGGTTTACCGTGCTTTAGGAGGATTCAGGATAGGGCGGCGTGTCAATGATTAGGGTGAGTTTGGCATGAGCCAGAACTAAGCTTGCAATATGCCAAACACTCAGTCTCCTTTGTGGCTCCTTTCTGTTTGTTATCTTGTGATGGTATTTTCGGATCCTCACCATGTAGTTTGTTAGGAGACAAGATACGGAACTATATTATATAGGTAAGATGCATGTGAGGGCGTACCCTCAACTATATGCCCCAAACCTTTTTAAACCCTACATGCAGCCCCCAAGAGCAGTGCCTGCACCTCCACTTCGTTCGGGCTCTGCGTGGGCAGCACCTGCAGTTGCAAACAGCAGTGAGGGCTTGCTTGGAGGGTCGGGGACGTACCAAGTAGTTATTTAATGGAGTTACAAGTACCATAACCCCGAGTAGGATCCCTCGTGGGGTACTTATAACTCTACTTATTGCCGACTTACTAAGTCCCCCGACCCTCCACGTCGCACAGAACAATTCCAAAACCCTATAAAGCCATTTTGAATCCGAAGCCGTGCAGACGCGGCACAGAGGAGGGAGAAACTTCCGCAAGCTGGAAGAAGGCTTCCAGAGCAAACTGGGGCACCTCCAAGAAAAGGGCTCTGGGAGCTGACGGTTTTGGAGTTTAGGGATTGGGGTTTGACTTTTTTGTAGAGTCTAAGAGTCTAAGGCTTTATGCGTTTAGGTTTCAGGGGCTTTGAGGCTGGGAAATTCGGCCCCAGGAGGGGCGATCCCTGGCAGCTCATGCTTCGTCATGCTACGGCTGACAAATGCAACTTAGTAACGGTGCATGTTATGTAACATGATGAATCCTTTTCTTATTATTGCTATGACAGTTCTTATTACTGTTGCTGCTATTATTACTTCTTCTTTCTACTGTTGGTACCACTACTACTGCTGCTGCCGCTACTACTACTACTGCTGCTACTACTACTACTACTACTACTACTACTACTACTACTACTACTACTAGTACTAGTACTAGTACTAGTACTACTACTGCTACTACTACTACTACTACCACTACACTACTACTACTACTACTACTACTACTACTACTACTACTACTACTACTACTACTACTACTACTACTACTACTACTACTACTACTACTACTACTACTACTACTACTACTACTACTACTACTACTGTTATATACTCGTTTTTCCTATTCCTGGCACGAATAACAATGAAGTGCTGTTCGTATCATTTGTTGTTATCTTATTGTTTTAACTGTTCATCGTGATAATTGGCTGATTATGCTTGAAGGCTTTTTGGACACGCCGCCTCTGTGTTGGCAGCGACGACCCGCCCCCCGAGCTCGTAGCACCACAGCCTTGGACGTCGTGCAGTGCACCCCAGGGTTTCGGTACGAATAGCGTGCGGCTCCGACCAAACAACAACATAAATCCTCAACCTTAAATCCTGAACCTACAGGGAACTCCAGGAAGTTGGAATATGGTTTCAGGGTAGGGTACCTTATTTACCATAAAGGGTTTAGGATAATAATATTCCCACTTTCTGGCTTTTACCTTAAAACCATGTAGACTTGACTCAAGGCCTCAAGCCGCCCCGGCACAGTACAGACCCTGAGCCTCAAACCTCGACCCTACTACCTCAAAACTACTGAGCCCCCCGATACCAAATACATGATCGAGAAGCAAGAAGAAGAACACATGGTTTACATCATCAGCAGTAAGAACAACAATGGATTCACTGATGTTTGTCGAAACACCTATATACGATTGTACCCAGACCCCCGGGAGGATCCAAAAAGCAGATCCCTTAATGGGGGTTCCTATAAAGTACCCTTAGTAGTATAGGGCCCCATATTAGGGGGGATCTAGTTCCTAGACTTGTTCGAATGCAAAGCCCGGATAACATCGAGCCTAGCGCCCCCCCAAAATCCCCCCAAAGAGCTGAGCCCAGCGACTCCCAGACCAAGCCGGTGGTTCCGTCTGCAAGGTAGGGCTTAGAAGTTTTGGGTTTAGGGTTTAGGAGTTCAGCGTTTCGGGTTTAGAAGTTTAGGGTCTAAGGTTTAGGAGTTCAGGGTTTAGGGCTTAAGAGTTTAGGGTTTAGGGTTTCGGATTCCAGAGTCCAGGGCTTCGAAATTAAGTGTTCAGGGTTTCGGATTAAAGGCTTTCGGGTCTTCGAGTTTAAGTGCTTAGGGCTTCGGGATTAAGGGCTTAGGGTTAGGAGTTTAGGGAGTGGATTCACAGGCTCAGGGTCTAAGTGTCCTCAATCATCACAACTTTTTACTTGTCGTGAAAGGCGGGGTATATTCTGCGGTAATCATGATAAGGAATCCTCACCGCAAGCATTAACAATTCTTCAGACCTCTGTAATGGTAGCTTGGGTTTCGGGGCTAGGGGGGATAACGTACGTAGGTACGATCTTAGTTAGACCCTTGGGACGCTCAGCAAAGCGGCGAGGCAGTGCATAGCAAACAAGCTTCGAAGGCTAAGGCTCGCACCCTTAGTGGGTGCTTCTGAAACTGCCCAAGGCCGAATAGCGCCGATATATAGTCTGCAGGCCCTGCCTATAGACCCTATAAAACCTAGATGCCGAACGCTCATTATTATGAGTTCCTTCTATGGGGCTTAGAGTTTGGGGTTTGGCAGAGCCTGAATACTGTAAGTCGAGTGCGAGTGTACTTTCGAGAATTGAAGCGTTCGGGTTGAGGGTTAATCTCAGGGCTTCGACTTCAACTTGATTTTTTTGAGGGCTTGGAGTCTGAGAGCTGGGGTTTCTGCAGCTGCGTCCTGTTGAGTACCTCAGGCTCTGTAAGAGCTTCACCATGCAGAACATCGTTCATGCAAAGTCTGCTCCCCCAAAATACAAAACTACTGATACACATTCTTCAAATCTCATCCCAGGATTGCGTGATTCCGAAACACCCACTTATCAGATTCGCAAGCCCATGCCGGAGTGGAGCCTGTTGTCGCAGGATTCGTGACGCTGAAGCTGAAGGAGTAAAAGCGGCCCACGACGAGCGGGTAGATCTGAGCACCCATGCGAATGGAAAACCGTTTGAAACCTGAAAAAAGAAACATCCTAAACCCTCAACCCCTTACACAAAGGGAACGGCTTCCTAAACCCTCAAACTCAAACCTGCAATCAGTGAGCTGCTTTGCAAATGGATTATGGCTGCAGGACCAGGGCTTCACGTTGAAGGACCGCGGCGTCACGGGCTCTCTGTCTTATGCACTAGTACTTATTCCAGGGCTCTCAACGCGCTTTGCAAAGATTGTCAGGGGTTTCGACCTCGTAAGTAGGGTTAGAAAACCAAACAGGCTATGGGGAGTGAGTATACAAGAGTACGCCAGTCTTGCAAGAAGGACTGCACCATCATGTAGGGAAACCCTGAACTTGGGAATTGTGAGGTCTTCAGGGTGTCTTGTTCTCTTGGTCCCAGGAATGAAGGCCGTCCACATGTGACAAAACATGCCCCCCTTAACCCCCTCATCCTGAAACCCCACATCCCCCAAACCCTGACAAACCCAAACCCAAACCCAGCGACCCGTAAACCCTCAGCCCTGAAACCCTAAATATCCCTAAATCTCGAGATACCCTGACGCCGAAAGCCACAAAACACCCGTAGAGTTGGTAAACAAAAGAGCCAAGAGACCAATGTCACGTTTAGCAGTCGCCAGGCCTGCCCAGAGCGACGAAGTTAGAAACCCCGTGCACGCAACTAACAGACATCCCGTATGTCAGTTTTAGGGTCAGTGCCCGCATGCCTCCAAAGCTGAAAGGGAAGCCTGCACCGACAACACCGCAGCTTCTGCAGAACACCCCCAAAAAAGTTACTAAAACACCCTATGCCTGAACTATTGGAATAGGGGCTTTTTCACATTCGACTCGAATTTGTTTTAGTGTACGGACTGTAAAAAGACACTACTATATGGTAGAACTTCAGACCCCTTTATTGACCCGTTCTGTATCTTAAGCTCTTTGCTCAAAGATTCCAGAGCAAGGATTTGCGGTCGTACCCTGAACCGGATAATAAGTAGATCCTGCCTCAACCCCAACACCTGAGCCAGGATCCAGACCCTAAACCGGTGATCACAAACCTGGCGAAGCAACTTGGGCGGTTGAGGGGTTTACATTACACGAGAGCGTAGTTTATGCAATACGGGGTACTGCAAATCAGCGTCGGGGGAGAACACCACAGTCCCAGGACCAGTGTTCTTCAACAAGCCCGTCCTTTTATTTGGTCTGCCAGTTGCATTCAGTCCAAGTCCTGAGGGCCTTGGGTCCCCCGCAGATCCTAACAAGGCCTGTGCACACGCCCTAACAGATTCAGACACATACTTGCGACATGAAAACGCAGGCTTCAGGATCCTGTCAAAACTACATCCGGCGGCACTGCGGCACCCTAAACAGCGACATCCCAAAATCTCGCTTGATCGTTCCATCCTCCAAGCCCCCCAACTCGCTAGAAAAGTGCCGCAACGAGTCTTTTTAGAGGCCCCTGTCACTGGATGGCCGAGCACACTAACTATCATTATGGGCTTCGACCCCTACACCCAGAACATGTTTCGTCTGCCAAGACCTCATCCCATGATGAAGGTAGGATGCATGAACTCTAAAACAACTCCAACCTCTGAGCCCTAAATTGCCTCAAATCATGAGTAAGTGTTACACCCCTGAAACTCTTTAGACCTCATTCACACTCGGGTCACGGCAGAACTGAGCGTGACGTCCTCCGAGTCCATATCAGCCGTTGCGGCCTGGCTTTGTAAGATTAACTAATTCCCCTTAACTCTTATAACCCTCAAACCCTAAACCCCTAATCCTCAATCTTTCAACCCAAAGCCGACCTGCGAAGTCCAAAGACTAAGACTATCAGTAGGAGCTACTGTTGATAATATAAATCCTGCATTACCTTAAGGACCCGAAACTATGGGAATTATGGTATATTCCTTATTATGGGCAATGCAGGATTTATATCATCAACCGTAGGATACGCGGGACAAAAGACGTCAGTGTTCTGGCACTCAGGCAGACCCTAAGCCAATCACAGTCTCCGCTGACCCAGGCCAAGACGATCCATCCTCGTGAGCCCTAAGTAGAGAGCCATGGACCCTTTGATCCGGCACGTGGAAATACGGCTGATGATATACATCCTGCATTACCTTAATCACACTGGACTAGGGACTTATGGTATATTCCTTGTTATGGGTAATGCAGGAGTTATACCATCAACCGTAGCATGCCATAAGTCATAGTAGAGATCCCCGTCTAGTATACAGTAGAAGCCCAAAAGTTGGAAACCCAATAGCCTCGATCCTTAAGAGTCATGTAGAGGGAATCCCAGCACTATTTGGCCTGAAACAGGTTTCCAACTTTATGGGGTTTACTGTAATCACACCAGACTAGGGACTTACAGTATATTCCTTGTTATGGGTAATGCAGGAGTTATATCATCAAAAGTAGCACGCCATAAGTCATGGTAGAGATCCGTCTAGTATACTGTAAGGTGCATTCGGAAAATGAAGGAAGTCTGGTCTGCCTGGGTAGCTGTTAAATGTAGGCTCCTGAGTAGCCCTTTCATGATAAGGGTACCCGTTTTTTCCTACTATTCGGGTTTAATAACAAGGCCCAAAATAAAAAGTGCAAAAAGGGTACTACTCAGGAACCTAGAAAAGGCAACTGCAAACTTCCGTTGCTTGGAGGCGCTGTCGAGTCAGGAAGGAAAGTCAGCCAGCAACAGGGGTATTTGTGGGATCCAGGTTGTGAGTACTGCAACCACCGCTGAGGATTCAACACTTTGTGGCGGCAAGTTCTCCCGGTTGAAGGTCGTCGCATCCAGCAAGAAGACCGAGGGGGCGAAAACGATCAGGGTGCCTCCACGAAACTGTAGAATTCGTATTATTAGTCAGTATTATTGTTATTGTTATATATATATATATATATATATGGACACACAGACTAGAAGTGAAGCAGAGACCCCAATGATGGTACGTGCCCTGTATCAGTTTTTGGAGCGTGGGACTGCAAGGGATTTAGGGTTGGGAGATGCGCAGGCTTTGATGTAGGACTCGGGATCCACTGCCATGATCTAACTACTGCCAGACCACGGCCTGTTCTCTCGCTGTCTCTGCATGTGACTGTGTAAACTCGAAACAAGAGCACATGAAAGAGAACACTAGCTTAGGTGTCGGAGTGATTAGTGTATAAGAGGTTACACTCCCCGCATAACCAGACCATAACATATGCCAAGATCCTGTTTCAGTTATTTATATGCAATGTCGGACGAACTGCCTCGGGACTCTCACACAGGAAACCCAACCGTGAATCGTACATGGGGCCTTCATGGTTTGTTCTGATATACGTATATGGGGAACCCTTTGGAACCCACGGAACGATCACAAACTAGTGAGGGCTGCCTGCTTCGGTTGCGATACTTCATTGCCTGGCCAGTTGAACCTCAGGGAAGACTTGAATCAGAAAACGTCCTAAACCCGAATCCCTGAACCCAAGAGTTGAATGCACCTACCAGGATCTTCTTTAGACTAGGGTTGTGGGGTTTCTTATCGTCTATTTGCATATGGAGTGTAAAGGAATGAGTAGACTTTCGTAACTACTCATCGCTCAGACCTCCATGTAGACAAGAAGAAGGTCTTCCAGAGTAGAGGAGGCCTCCGGTGGCCATCGTTGCAGCAGGAGGCAGCCGGAATGTCAGCCGCACCTCAGCAGATGATGTGCTTAAGTTTCGGTGTTTAGGGCTTTTCTGGGGTGTCGAGGAGGGTTTAAGGGTTCAGGGTTTAGTTTCCACGCCCTGGGTTTATGTTTACGACTTCAGGTTAAACCTCAGCACCGACAAGTAGCACTGGAAAAGCCGAGAGCCCTAAACCCGAAGCCGAAAACAGAAACATAATCCGATGTAAGACTACACGCTGAGCGTCCATACATATACTACAGTACCACTATGAAATTAGGACTAAGAAGGCCATCCCTGCAAACCTCCTTCTATAATGGTGGTATGTATGGACCCTGTGGGTTCGGGCGGGTATAGGGCTTCGCAACCTCATAGACGGACAGGCTTGGCTTAGCCCAACGTCCTTCTACCGGAAATCAGGGCTGCTCAGAAGTGAAGCCACAGGTGTTGTTCGTATTCAGAAACTAACTGGCCATGCGATGCCCTGAACCCTGCACCCTAAACCCCTACACCCAAACTCCCAAACCTTAAACATATAGACTGAAAGTCTGAAGAGTTGGGTCAGGAGGCCTCAAACCAAAACCGTGTGTACCCTGCATGTACCTTACCCACCCAAAACCCTAAACCTTGAACCCCAAAATCCATAACCCTGTAGTTACCCCACGTGCACGATGCCCTCGAGCAGTCTGGGAAGCCGGCATAGTTGTACTTGTAGCCCACTTCCCGGACGGATCCGTAGAGGCCAGCAACCTTCAATTAACGCCGGAAGTCTGAACGCAGCTTCGGAGTGTCCGCCTCATATAGGTTTTAGGGTGGCCGGGTGGCCCTAATCCGTGAACCACAAACCCTAAAAAAATGGGAATTAGGATCTAGACCCTACACGCTGTGTTGTTGGGGGTATGAAACTGAGCTTCTACCTCCAGACTGTACATCGTGGCTGTCGTAGAGTATGAGCACTGCAGGAGTAAGGGTAATCCTCCAAATGTCGGGGCACCGTTCGTTGATAAAGTAAGGAACCCTAAGACGGGACCCTGCTTCAGAGAACCCTGCGAGGATCCTGCAGGAGAAGCTCATCTGGAAACCGCTAAAGTGATGAGAATAATTAACCCCTGAACCCTCAATTTTTCTAAGGTTATGGAGGGGTAGATGAACCCGAACTGTAGCCTAGAGCCATGGGCCTCACTCTAACTCGACGCCCATCAAGTAAAACCCAGTACAAAACCAAGCAAACACGCCTCCAGCTTCAAGTAGACACCATATCCGGGATAGTCTGAAGTTCTCTCGATCACCGCTGCACCTCCGGCGCAGGAAGCTCACGTCGGCTTGGTGCGCGGGTCGAGGATTCAAGGCCCGACAGCTAGGGACTTCAAAGCCACGCAATTGTCTAAATACATGTAGAAACCCTAAGCCTAAACCCTAAACCCTAAAAACAATGAAAAACATTTATGCATCAAAGTTGAAGGGCTCATGATCAGATATGGGAGTTTCCGAGGATATAAGGGGGGACCTTAATTATTCAGGGGTCCTTATAATAAGGATCCTACTGTTTAAGGTACTCTATTGGGGTCCCCTATTTTCGGAAACCCCTATATGACCCTAGAAGCTTCAGCGGCTTTTTGGATTCATAAGTCTGTCTTGCACAGCTGTGAGGTTCTGAAGGAACAGGGCCCCTCGTCAGTGACTCAGGGCCGGGCCATTGGCGAAGCGACTTATCACTCAACTCTCCGCCCTAAAACCGGGAAATGCTAAACCCTAGGTATGCGCAAAGCCTCCACTGCGGCTTAAGCTTGATTAAGCCTCGGATCTGAAACGTAGGAGCCACTGCCAACAGTACTAGTAGGTAGTCATCCTAACAGGACGCAGCTCCTTGCCGACTCCCCGAAACCTTAGCGACGCTACATGCCGAACGAACCTGCATTGGCGCTGGCGCGGACCTCGAAGGACCACATCGGCACTCCTTCCGGGAGGGCATGTTTAGCCTTTGGTTTTTTACAGTAGTTTGCAAACTGTTGTCCTGACTTTCAAAAACGGTACTCGGAATCCTAGAACCTGTTCCTGCTTTGGCCATGGCCTTTGTGCAAGCTCCCTTTGAAAGCCAGGCTCACTCTGGTCTCGTCATGCATGGTGATGGGTTTTGGCATGTACCTATAGTCTCCAATGTTTGGAGTTCCTTTTTGGGGTTACCTTTTGGGATCCTTAATGTAAAATTGGTTAAACCAAAAAAAGGAACCACAACGGAGACTATAGGTAGTTGAGGAATTATTTGAAGCTTCGTCCGGCTTTTGAAACGTACACAGCCTGCTCAGCTCCCTGCCTTCTTCTGGAGGGTCACCGTTGATCAGGCCCAAACGAAATCGCAAGCGCTGGCCTGCAATGCGCGTCAGGGCTTTGCAGCGGCGGAGCCAGAACCCCCTGAAGCAAACCGAAGCCCTAAAACCGAAACCCTAACCCTATAAACCCTAATAAACCCTAGTAAGCCTTAATAAACCCTAATAGTCCAACATACCCTAATAAACCTTCGGACCCTAAACCCTGTGAGCCCTAAGCCACAAAAAAAAGAAACAGGGCGGCAGGTTCAAAGGCTTTGCAACCCTTGGGATCTGAAGCTTCGGTTTACCCGGAGGCTCAAAGCACTTCCAGGATCGGAAGCACTAGAATATGGCTTCTAGCACGGTAGGCTCCATAGGGTTTCTATAGAGGGTCTGGAGAGGGGCCTGAAGAATCAGGATCAGGCTTTGGGATATATTTCTGCTATATATGTGGGGACCACAGGGCTACAAGGGGATATGCTCCTAATCATTCAGACCGGCTGCTTGTACCAAGAGTACCGGAGGTGTAGATTGAACAAAACCTATATCCCCGAGCCTTGAACTCAAAACCCCGAAGCCCGAACACCCAGAAGCCTATATCCTAAAGCCTACGATCTACGGGTGATTCAAAGCCCCCAATCCTTAAATCCTTACCGGACAACCGAGACCATAAATCCTTTAATTACCCCGCTATTCCATAACCGCGAACTAAACTGACCCTAAGTCCTGCAGCTTAAACTTTAAACCCTGCACCCTAAAATCGCTCACCCTCAGAAGGTCACAGTCTCACGAAATCGCTCACCCTCAGAAGGTCACAGTCTCACGAAGCTTTTTGCCCTCTTATCGAAGCTCGGCCGGCGCCGTTGGGAGAGCTCCTGTCTTCAGGTCTCAGGCTTTAGGGTTTGGAGTATGTATGAGTGCATGTATGTATGTATGTATGTATGTATGTGTGTATGTATGTATGTATGTATGCATGGATGTATGTATGTATGTATGTATGTAACTATGTATGTATGCATATGCATCTGTATATGTACATGTACATGTATTTGTATACGTGCTTCGGGTCCAGGGCCTTTAGAGTGGCCTCGAGAGTGAGATTCCGCAGGGGCTTGTCGGAATGCGAGTTTGGATATCATTGGTATAGTGTAAATATGTACGTACATGTATACTTATTATGTAAGATAGAGAGGGACAAAGGCAAACAGAGACAGTGCGAGCGAGAAAGGCTTCACGAATTCAGTTGAGCTACTATAGGTCTCTTAGAAGGGCTGCTATACCGGTCTTTCAAAGCGTTGCAAAAGGGGCTCCAATAGAGGTTGCTCTCAAGTTAAGGGTTCCTTGAAAGGCTGTCTGCGCTCGAATCCATTGCATCTCGCCTCACCCAGGCATGTCAACCAACTCTTCCCATGCGAGCGGATAAACCAGGGCCATCCCCCGGATTTAGGGTTACCTTAAGCCGGAATAACCTACCTGTTTAAGGACTTATACGAGGAAATCATAATAAGGAACCCTAAAAAAGTAGGTTATTCAGGGTTAGGGTAGTGTCTAGGGTAGGTTTCAGGGTTTAGGGTTCAGGGTTTAGGATTCTGATCGCTAGAATCCCCAGTTGTTGAACTGCACAATCAGTCCACGGCCTCGATAAAAAAACAATCCCCATTTCCTAAACCTTTAAACCTCTAAACCTTAAATTGAACATAAAGCCTAAGCTACGCCACACCCTGACCTCTAATCTAGAATGCATAGCCAAAACGAAACTTGAGCCCTGAATTGTCCTCCCTGCGGGGTGGAGGGGCGGGGCGAGGCGCGGCAGCTATCTCGCCACCTTCCCAGTCAGACCCCTTTAAGGCCTTTTAGCTTGAGGGCTTTAGAGAGCTCCAGTTTTCATACAAAGCCTCCTGCAGAACACCTTGGCTTGTATTTGTCGCTCCAGGTACAACTCCCGGCAATATCTTACCTTTGGTTCGTAGGGAATGGAGGAATGGTAGTAATAGTAGTTATAATTGTACCCCAATCCTCCATTCCTTAAAAGTAGGCTATGAGACTCTCTCCAGCTTCAATCAACTTCGGCCTGAAGCTTGCACCTTACCGTAACATCGCCAGGCCATGAATCGCATACCTGTTTAGTGGATATTGTATAAGGAACGAAGAAGCCAGGGATTTTGGGGTCAAGGTAAAGCTTAAACCCCGAAGCCTCAAACTCCAAGAGTAAAAGGAGGGACCCTCCCTAGGTATATAATTACCCTTTAATATATCTATTATATACCCATTATGTAGCCCATTATAGGGTAGGGGTCCCATTAAGGGTCCCTCCTTTTCCCCTTTGATAAACCCGAAATCTTAAACCAAACCTCGGAACACCCGATGCTGAACGCGTCCCACAGTCAGATTGCAGGTCCACTAATGGCGCGATTCTTTGATGCTTAGTTTTTAAGGGGGGTTACTATACTGAACTTAGAACCCTAGCACAAATTATGATTTAGCTGTTTCTTAGGGATTATAATAACCAAACAAAAAGCTGTTTCTAAGCACCCCTAAGGTTAGGGTTGAGGATGCAAGGCTATTTTTCAACCTACCAGGCACCTGACTTTGACTCAAATGCAGCCTTTCGAAGCAGTGGAAGATCAGGTCACAGCAGAACCATTCCGTATTTAAAAGGGGACCCATAAACGGCAAAAGGGTACTACTCAGGAACCTAGGCAATGATGTCCCTGCATACTCCCTGCGCTGCTATCCAACTATCGGCCTAGGTACGCTTAAAGATTGCGGGGTAAGGGAAGGGGTTTAATTAGGAGTTGATGATTTAGGGCTTTTGCTTGAGGGGAGGATGCATGAAGCTGCAGGGGGAAGAAGCGACTTTCAATCGCACGATCCAGCCTATGGCTTCGAAGAGGCAGCGCAGGGAGTCACGCTGCCCTGCTTGCACGCATGCCTGAAGGCTTCAGAAAATGCCGCGGGTATAGGACCAGTTCCTACTTCTCCACCTGCTGAGGGGGATCTCAATTTAACCTTCCTTCTTCGCCAATTTGTAGGAGCAATTCAGTGTACTATTACTAGAGTACATGCCTAGTTTTTCGGATATGGACTCTACCACCCCAGGAAGGCTGCCGGTTACCTACTCGAAAGCTAGGAGAGTTGCTGTAAGCATCGCAGTCCAGAGGGCCGCAGCTGCTTGTGATTCCGGTGTTCCGATGAAGAGGTTCGGGGCTTTGGGTTTCAGGGTTAAGGCTTGAAGTTTAGAGCTTCGGTTTCAAGGTTTCGGATTGAGGATTTAGGACTTCAGCGTTTGGAATTTCAGGGTTCCAGGGTTTCAGGGTACCAGGAGTTGTGAGGGTTTATAGGGATCAAAGTTTGCCTTTTTTGGGGGAGGCTTCAGGCTTCGAGTTTGCAAAAACAGGGTTTTACCGGTTGGGAGAAGTTTAGGTTTAGGGTATAGTAAGGCTTAAGGCTCAGGGCTTGGTTATTTTTCAGCTTACTCAAATTAGAAAGCAGAGAAGAAGAACGGACCCCCATTGCAAGTCAGCGGCCGACATTGCTGCCGTACTTGCCGGTCGCACGTCTAAGGAGGCTCGCCTGTGCACATCTCGATGGACACCAGACCCCAAGCCCAATACACCCCTTGTCTTGTGGGCTGTCGGTTTTCGGTTTAGGGTTTAAGCAATCTAATTCGTTGAAATTACATGCAATCATCAGAGGCTTAACCGTACCTGAGCCGTAAACCCTACGCTGTGCATAAACCCTAAACCCCAAAAGCTCTCTGGCTTTGTCTAGGCGGGGCTTCTAAGGCCGCTGAAAAATATTAGTAAATAAGATTCTCTTAAGCCCAATAAGGGAAAATATAAGATGCCCCAGCTCCCCTACCTAGTTTGTGGATCTCATAGGTGTGCCTCTGGAGCCTCAAGGTGCTGGCCTTGGTAGCTTAAATCCTACCTATAGTCTCCATTGTAGTTCCTTTTTTCGGTTTAACCCCCAAAAGGAACTACATTGGAGACTCTGGGTGGTTTCTCCTCCTTTGAGTTGAAATAGAACCCTCATAGGGTGTCGAGTTCAGGGCTCAGGATAACATAGGGCTTAGTGCATTTTAAGGTTTGGGGTTGCCTTTCGGGGCTTTGGTTGGGGGCTCTCCTTAGCCCGTTTGTGCAAGGGTCCTAGTGTCAGTGTAGACCATGAACCCTTAAACTCCGGCGCTCGCAGAGTATTCCGCCGGGTAGCTGCATCCAGTGAAACCTTGGCTCTCTTCCGGTTGGCTCTTTGGATTTTATAGATCCCTTATAGGAACCCTTAGGGGACTTAGGGGTATATCCCTTGAAGGGGACCCGCAGCCTTTACGAGTTTAGGGCTTAGGAGTTTAGGATTTAGGGCTTCGCGTTATACAATGGTAGCCTGATTTTAACGCACTAAACCGAAACGGCAGCATTAACCCTAAAACCCGACACCCTAGCACCTATATGGGAGTTTCCGAAAGTAGGGGTACCTTATGTTGGGGTCCTTATAATAAGGATCCTACTATTCAGGGTACTAGATGAGGGTCCCCTATTTTCGGAAACTCCCATACCAATCCGGACGTTGCTACAAGGAGGCCCACGGTTTGACGTTGAGGAGAAGCCCTCGACCATAAAGAGAGAGCTAGCAACGAAACAGCCTATTCCCGAGGCCAATACCCTAAAACCCTCAAAGCCCAAGCCCTAAACCCGACAGCTTGAAACCTTAAAGCCTAAACCTTTTGCCAAGAGACTTGTCCTAGAGCCTTTTGAGTTGACAAACAGCAGCGGGACTCTTCGACGGCTTGAGCTTAGGGTGCTGGGTTTAGGGTCAGGGTTCCATCGAACCAGATCAACCCTCATGTTAAAAGAACCCTAAAGCACCCTAGCATACGACAACACCCTATACAAAACACCCTCCCCAGTCCTTACACTCTGAACCTCAAACCCTACAGCCCTAACCCTAAACCCTAAACCACAAACCCTAAAACCCTAAACCGTAAAAGCCGAGAAGCAGCAAAAGGCTCTTTGCCCAGGCGCTGCTTCGCGCGAAGGCAGCCGCAAGGGGTGCACAAAGC